CTTCTCCAAGATCTCCCTTTGCCTGTTTGCTGCAATTTTTCTTCAGAGTTGTATTAATACTAAGGTGACCAGACGTCCCGCTTTTGGCGGGACAGTCCCGCTTTTGAGCAATTTGTCCCGTGTCCCGTGGCATTTTTAAAAAGTCCCGATTTTTCATTCTGCCTCCTGAGTCCCGGCTGCCTCCTGAATCCCCACTGATGGCTAGAGGGAAAAAAAACTGTTTAAACTCTTGCCGCGGGGCTTCAAAGGGCCGACCTACAGCTGATCAGTGTTAAAAAAAAAATAGAAAAAACAGCCCCTGTTAACAGCTTCCGCTAGGTTAATTAGCTGCAAAAAGCTGCAAAAAGCTGCAAAAAGTTCCTGGAGCAGATTTTTTTCCCCCTAGCTATGCTGAAAAAAACAAAGGCGAAAGCGAAAGTAAAGCTGCAACGTGACAAAATGAGGCAGAGAGAGATTTCTTTCTTTTTCTTTTTCTTTTTCCTCACCAAAAAAGGTAGGTACAAAACTGCAAACAATGGGAAATTTTGGGCAAAAGAGGAGAGTTCAAGATTTTAAAACACAAAAGAAAAAAAGCTCTATTTAACTAGGGAATTGTAATAATTGTGATACTATTAATAATTGTATATTGTGTTGAAAGCAGAAATGGTTAAGTTGTGGTTTGGAGGAATATATGGGGGAAATTATTTGGTTTATTATTATTGGTAAATATAATTAATTGATTTGTAAGAAATTGGATTGCATGGAAATAATTGGAATATTCATGTTCATATTGATTAATATACAAAAAAGATAGATATATAACTAATTGATTTATATTAAAATGTTGAATTTGTATTAAACAACTGTATTACATAATTACATAATTAACCAATGTGAGGATGGATATAAAAATAGATGACAATGGGAAGGGGTATAATATAGAATAGAAGGGAAAAATTGAATTTGATTAAGATTAGAGATGAGGATGAAGGGTAATATTGTTTTTTTTAAAAAAATAGATGAGGAATAAATATGGCAAAAAGGAAATATAGAAATTGTAAATTTAAATGAAATGACTAAACGCTGTTTAAATTTGTGAACCAGCCAAATATTCTGTTCAAAGAAAATACACTGTATGTTTGTATGTGTGTTTCTAATTATTGCTATTTATTCATATTTGTTCTCTTTTATTCTTTAAAGTTTAACAATTCATTCTTAATCTTAATATCTTTATATTTGCTTGGGGTTGGCTTTCTTCCCTTTCATCTTTTTTATTGTACAGCAATCTTTCTCCTCAAACCTACCACCACTCTCTTTTCTTTCCTTCTTACTTTCTCCTCCCCCCACCCTCTTTTTCTCCTCCCTACTTCCTCTTCCTTTCTCCTTCTCCTCCTCTCTTCCTCCCTCTCTTACCCTCACTCCTACTCTAATTTCCATTCCTTCATCCCTCTCTATTGCTGTATCCTTTAATGCATATGGACTACTCAGAGGGCTGAAAAAGTTATTTTTGACTGGTCCTCACACTTTTGACCAGTCCTCGAACTTATGACTGTCCTTACATTTTACATTTTTGCCCTATCTTGTCATCATGGTGAAGAGAAGCAGTTGTGAAATGAGTGACATGGTTGTTAAGAATGCTGCATGGGCATAAATGTGAGGATGGTCATAAGTGTGAGGACCAGTCAAAAGTGCGAGGACCTGTCAGAAATGACTTTTTTCAGCCCTCTGGTTAGTCCTTTTGTGCATATGGACTACTCAGAGGGCTGAAAAAGTTATTTTTGACTGGTCCTCACACTTTTGACCATCCTCGAACTTACGACTGTCCTCACATTTTACGTTTTTGCCCTATCTTGTCACCATGGTGAAGAGAAGCAGTTGTGAAATGAGTGACATGGTTGTTAAGAATACTGCATGGGCATAAATGTGAGGATGGTCATAAGTGTGAGGAACAGTCAAAAGTGTGAGGACCTGTCAGAAATGACTTTTCAGCCCTCTGAGTAGTCCCTATACACATAGCCATGGCCACCCGGTCACATGACCAGCTAGCCACGCCCACCCAGTCACATGACCAGCTAGCCACGCCCATAAAATAAGCCACGCCCACAATGTCCCTCTTTACCAATGTTAAAATCTGGTCACCTTAATTAATACACTACAACTATTCTGCTATAAAAGAGAGAGAGGAAATTAATCATTAAAACTTTCCTCCCCCAGACAACAAAAGCTGATGTTAGAGCAATTTAAGATGGATAATCAAGAAGTAAATCTGAAGCTAATCAGTCTTTAATTTTTCAACTTGAATCAATAGCAACTAAATGTAAAGTGGATTGATGTTGCTTAGAAGTGATGTATTTAAACTAGAAGGGTATTTACTAGTGCTTCTCTGTATTTTACATTACATTACAAAAATATTTCTTTATTTGTAAAACTTAGAATGGCAATCCATCTTACCTTGGGTAACTCTGGGCATTATTGCCTCAGCCCTGGAGGTTATAGATATATTTAGAAAAAAAAATCGGAAGATGCCAAAGTTACCATCACATAGATCTCCATAAAAAATGAGAGAAAAAGAGCAACGATTCTGAAGCTCAATTTTAAAATGAATGCATGTAGAAGAAGAAGAAGGGAAAAAGTCCTAATCTGGCATTTTGGATCATGGGTATAATAACAAGGGAAGGTAGGAAAAAGTGGAGCCCAACATATGCATATAGTAAAGGAACAAACAAAAACACTGTGTACTGATAAGTTGTAAAACTACAGCCAATGCAGGAAAAAGCACAGACCAACCAAAATATGTGCTTTAGTGAAGTGTACAAATTATTATAGAATATGATTGATTATTACTTGTTTAAATTGATTCAAGGTGTTAGTTATCACCTTTAAAGCGCTCCATGGCTTAGGACCTGGGTACCTACGAGACCGTCTTTTGCCACCAATAGCCTCCCACCGACCAGTTCATTCTCACAGGGATGGACTACTCAGGGTACTGTCAGTCAAATTATGTCGACTGGCGACTCCCAGGGGGAGGGCCTTCTCTGTGGGGGCTCCAACCCTTTGGAATGAACTGCCCCCAGAGATACGGAATATCCCTGCTCTCCGTGCTTTCCGCCGTGCCCTCAAGACCCTGATGTTCCAACAGGCGCGGCTAAACATACGAACATGTGAATGATTTTTTAAATGTTATCTAATTCTGGGTTTTATTTAATTGACCAAACTAAGTAATAATTTTAATTAGCAATTTTATGATGTTTGTGTGTCTATATTTTTCTTAACTGTACACCGCCTTGAGTCCTATGGGAGAAAGGCAGTATAGAAATATAATAAATAAATAAATAAATAAATAAATAAATAAATAAATAAATAAATAAATAACTGAAGGATGTATTAAGTAACCTTGGAGTTTGTGCATGGTTTTACCTTATTCATTACCTTGGGTGGGGTTATACTAAAAAGATGGCTAAAGAAAAATGTATGTTGACCATGGAAAGCTTTGTTCAGCAATAGAGAATTATAGTTTAAACAAATCATAGATGTCATCGGTCTTGAAATGTTTAAAAACAGACAGGAACAATAGCAAAAATCTGGAAGTGTATTTTTACACGATAGACATGGCCACATCATTACTTAATAATTTCTTAATAGGTTCTTCTCGTACTCTAAAATCAGCTGTTTCTAAAGTTGTCGTGTCATTTAAACTCAGTCTGGAGTTGCTGACATTAAATCATTATTAACTTAGTAGAAGGTGAAAAGCTCTCCAGTCCTGTGGTGAGTCACTTCTTAAGCTGCTGTACATCCTGAACTGATAAACAGCAAAATCAACAGCACAGGGCAATTGACCTCATTTAACCCAGACTCAACAAGTTTTAAGAAAATGCTCTCCTACAATCTTTTGTCTCTACACACAAATGTCCTTCTTTCAGAATACATATATAATGTAACACATTGGAAAATCTAACTACCGATCCAGTCAAAAGCTATGGGGTTCTAGTTATGGGGAAGGCACATTCTTTTATGAAGCCCAATTTCCTGAAAATCCTTCACAAGGAATTTGAAGAATATTTACTAAAGTCATGGCCTCTCCTACCCTGGCTCTTTTGAGTGTAACAGTGTTGTATTCCATTTATCCGAGCTGCTCTGAGTGGGCATGACAGGAAAATAACTGAAATGGATAGATAAAAACGTTTGCTCCTTCAAATTTATAAGATTTATAAGATAGGGAATGGAAAACTGGTTCTATGACTCACTGTTGGATTAATCTATTCTTGGTTTCTGCCAATTTTGCCTGGGCTAGCCAAATAGACTGGCCATTACAGAGATTGAAGGTCAACATTCCAGGGAGATCAAATTTTGGATGTCTGGAGAATATGTATGCAATCCACAGAAGGATATCTGAAGGATAATGATGTGTTTTTAAATGTACTTGTTGTCTCTAGCATTTCCAGTTAACTGGACACAGCAATTAAATATATGAATCATAGACAGAATGTGCAATTGCTGTATAGGTTACTAGGAAGATGGTTTCTTTACTGCCACTGTTTATCCTGGGTTGATAACATTTTGTATTCCTCTGTAAATATTTAATTTTCCCCTTTTTCTTTTCAGAAAACATTCCTAGCATAACTGCAACAGGTGTGAAATCTTATAAATCCGTCCCACTCAACATTAAAAGGTTGATAAATAAAATGTATTTAAGGCAGTGTTTTACGTCATCCACAAAAATGCATTTCTTCCATTTAAAAATGTGAAGTGTCAGTAAGATTCCTTAATAATACAATTTCCAATGAACAGCATCCTTTGTAATAAAGTAAGGTTTAAGAGATTTTTTCCCCTTGGCAACATCTCTTTGAGGGAAATAGAAAATGGAACCTGCAATTGATAAAAGTTGGTTCCCATATATGTATTTTATAAAAACATATACTGGATTTTATTCATAACCCTATTATAGAAGAAAGAGTAATTTGAACAACATGTTCAGCTTATTCATACACAGGATTCTATTCAAAAAACACATTTCCATTTACCTTGGGTATTCCTGAGCAGTCAAGCCACTTCTGGAAAATGTTTTCAATCGCCAGACCATACCTTCCAAGCAAATAAAAAATTAATCATAAAGATGTAATGTATGTAAGTGTGTATGTGTGTATAATCCTTGGGTTATGACCGTTTGTTCAGCAGCTATTCAAAATTATGACAGAACTAAATGAAAGGTATTTACAATGGGACCTTGTAATTCTGTCTGTTGCAATACTCCAGACAAATCATTATGATTTCTGACAATCCTGCCAGAATCCCACAAAACAAGTCAATAGAAAAGCCAGGAGAAAGTTAAAAGTTATGTGAGGTCCTCTTTTAACAACCCATGTGGCCCTTGCTTAACAACAGATATCAGAATTGTTGTTGCTAAGCAACTTGGTCACTTGATGTCACCTAGTATGACCATGTCATGCTCTGTTGCTAAGTGATAGTAAATCCAGTCTCAGTTGCCATCATAATTTAAGAATTGCTTGGGTGTGTGTCTCTGTGTGTGAGACACACACCTATCTCCCCTTATACACACACAGACACACATGATAAAAAACATAATAGTTGCACTTACTCTTAAGAGCTTATCAATTTTTCCATTTTTGTAATTTCTTCATACTTTTTTACTAAAGCAGATAACGAATGGAAAATTCCAGATATTTAAAATTCCCTAATACGAGTTTTCATACGTACATTCATACATGTTCATCTATAAACACATTACTATATATAAATTGGCATTCTTTCTTTCTGGGTCCAAGGAAAGCAATTAAGGCATAGCTGTTCCTTCTAAGACAGGAGGAGGACATGCTATGATTGAAGAGATGAACCTGGCATGATTTCCTATATTTTTCCCAGTGGGATCTGATCCCTGCCCCTTAGAGTCCAGCAGTCTGTTTTCACAGTAGACAACCAACTGCACAAGGAATCCACTGGTTTCCCAGCAGATAGCCTTCAGAGGCAGTCACACTGCCATAATAGTCATTGATCTCCACGACAGCTATGAATTGATCCAACCCCCCTCCCTTTTTTTTAAGACAAAGCAGATGGGCCCTAAAATTTGTTTACAAATTCCGCATTTTCCCACACACTTATTTCTTCCATTAGTCTGATGCAACAAGAGGACAATACTTTGAAAAAACAGTTAAACCTTTGCCAGCAAAGCATCATTGTTTATGAAATAATCTAGTCTACTAACCTGATTCTGCTTATTTAGATATGATATGTCATTGTAATTGGTTGAAAATTATCAAAATAGGTTTAAACAAATACTCAATCATTTAGTAATGCGATAGGATGACATATCATTGCACTCACCATAATCTATAAAACTACTGTATTATGTCTGTTTGTTTGTACCCTTCAATGGGGTGAAACAGCATTATAGGACAATATTTTTTTAGCCAATAAACCTGAAATGGGCTACAGAATGCATTCAAAATCCAGGAATTTTGAAACCCATAATTCCTGTGGGATTGAAATTTGGCAAAGTTGTGCTACAGCACTGCTGTGGTCAGCCACAGGCAATGATCACCATTTTCAGCACTCTCTGCCAACTTCCTATAAGAAAAGTCAATGGGGCAGGTATTTGCTCCTGTTCCCACTGGGTCATTTTGTTTCTTTGTTTAGATAAAGAAATAACTCTGAAATGATGACCCAATGGATCATGGGTTGCCTAATATACTTTAAAGCCCAAAACAGAACTGCACATAGTACATAGATAATACAGGGTTCTATTTCCATCTTGAAAGATAAGTATAGTATTTCCACTGTAAATAGAATTCAGCATTTAGAAGTGTAAAAATTGTTCATTTGGCAATGAATTATTATATAAGAATTATTATATAATTATTATATAAATGAAAGTACATGACAGCAGAGGTGTATACAGGTAGCCTTCGACCTACGACCAGAGTTGAACCCCAAATTTCTGTTGCTAAGCAAGACAATTGTTAAGTGAGTTTTGCTCCATTTTACAACCTTTCTTGCCACAGTTTTTAGTGAATCACTGCAGTTGTTAAGTTAGTAACACGGTTGTTAAGTGACTCTGGCTTCCCAATGGACTTTGCTTGTCAGAAGGTCACAAAAAGTGATCACGTGACCCCCAGGGCACTGCAACCATCATAAATATGAGCCAGTTACCAAGTGTCTGAAGTTTGATCAAGGGGATGCTGCAGTGGTCATAAGTGTGAAAAACAAGTCACTTTTTTTCAGTGTCATTGTAGCTTTTGTTGGAAGTTAAAACCCACCCCTCTCCTAGAAAAATGAAATATTTTAGGATATACTAAAAAGGCAGAATATTTCCCCTAAAAGAGAAGTAGAAACTCAGAGAAGTAGAAACTCAGCCCCCCACCTTTGTTACTGGGCCATTAAGGCCTGGGCAGGTCTATTCTACATAACAAAGATCTACTTCCTTCAGGCAGAGCCATTTAATTGCCCTTCATTGCACCACCCACCAAGTTTCAACCAAACCTGTGCACAAACAACCTAAAAGGCTAGCTAGGACCTCTGACAGCAACGAATCAGGATACTCTTCCTGTGCCCCAGGAAGTTCAAAGCCCAGAGGAGGCATAAAACCCAGGGACGCCCAGCTCTCTTCCTTTTTTTCTGCTCAGGAACCCAGGCCATGTGATTCTGCTCAGGAACTCAAGCTACGTGATTCTGCCCAGGAGCTCAAGCCATGTGATCCTGTTCATCAATAAACCTTCTTTCCAAGCAACTTCCATGAATCCAGTGTCTTTTTCCCCACTTGGAATTGAACCCAGATGGACATTTCTTCCAACACTTTGAACAGTCACTAAATGAATGGTTCTAAGTCAAGGACCACCTGTAATCTGAACCACTGACCTAACCATTTCCAAAAGATGCATTTTTTTAGGTGACAACAAGAAAAATGTAATTCATGGAGAATAATCCTATTGATCAGATGTAATTAACTACATTTAATTTAATTTATATTTCTCATTCAATTCAGTTACTTATCGTTTTAGTCCTGGTCCTGCTCATTTTGGGCTTATCCTCTTTATCAGAGTGTAGCATCCATTATTGAAAGCCAAATGCTGCTCCTAATTCCTGACACAATATCCTGCACCATTAATACAGAGCACTGTCCAAATTTGTGTTGGGATCCAGGATTTCAGGAATTTCAATAAAATTAGTAGGATAATTTAATTCCATAATTTATAAAGTAGGATCGCTCCATTATTTGTTATGGAATAAGTGTTATGTTACTGCTATTCATAGCAAATTTTGAACTAGCTCCCTCTGAGCTAGTTTCACAGCATATCGATTTTTAGGTCTATTGTACACAACAGGCACATAACTAGAAAACTGTATTTGAAAATCAGGATCAAAACAATGGCATCTTAGAAATTCAGTCACAAGTCCGATAGTGTTTATTATGGAAAGCAGATGTGATTATGAATCAAATGCTATCTCATGCCATTAAAATCGTGCTGCTTAAAAGTTTCACAGCAATCCCCCCTTCCCAAAGCTAATACACTGTACAAATTGTATAGAAATAAATTGTTTTTAAATCCAATAGAAAGTTGAGCAACTAATATTATCTTGGGTATTTGATTTCTTTTTCATCATGTTTCAGGCAGTTCTATTCATTTTGGTTGCCATTTCTTATTGTCTCATCCATTTGGGTAATCTTCAGTTACATTCACTTTTCCAAGTCTGCCCTGATTAAATTGAAGAATTAGACTGCCTTCCGAGACCGCAGCCTTGGAATTTTCCATTCAGATGAAATGGTCCTTTCTGGTATTGTACAACTTCCTTAAAGCAACATTTCATTTGGACTGGACAAAGAATCCAAATTTTCTCAGTAATTTAAATAGTGGCTGACATTCTCTAAACATTACCAATTCCCCTTTCTCTGTTCCCCAGATTGTAACTTTTACAGCCTCCTTGTGTCCAACTGTGCAGCATTTG